ATCCATAAGCCGCATATACCGCAAAAGGCAGCGTCAACAGCTTGAACTCGTATCTATCACACTTGTGAAAATAGAAAATGAAACTGCAAAACTTTGGTTTTAGCAAGAATCGTTCTACATTTTCATAAAAGCACACAAAAAAAACGTCAATAGACTAAGAAATAAAATACAGTGCTGCAAATTTCCAATAAAGTTTTGCCTCTCGCTGTGTGCACAATAAAAATCACACGATTCATTTCAGCATAATACAAATAAATTTGCCATCCATGAAGGCACGTCAATCATATGCACTGTTGGCAACAGAAAGCTTTTCAGACAGTGGCAGCACTTGAGCTTGATTTTTTCCTAAATGACTCCCACAAACATGAATTGTGCAGCATAAGGTTTTCATCCCAACATTTTTGTGCTAGCTAATGAAAAGAAAGCAAATTTATCATGTGGAATCAGCAATAAGTAGAGCTGGCATAAGTCCAAGCAGATTCTGCACATTCTTGCATACACTTAAAAGAATTAAAATAAACATTTCTCTTAACGGCAAGCAAGAGTGTCAGACAAGCATGCACACACGATTTAAATATCACAATCAATAAATGGTTTTGTAATTATAATCAATTTCGTTTTGATCGGCGATGCTTTAAAAATGCAAATTAAATAAAAACAAAACCGTCGAGTAATATATTCATATACATATATGCATGCGAGTGAGCGTGTGTGTGTGTGCAGAAAAGAAAACATTATGGTTGCAATTTTATATTTATGACTGACACAAAACGCTGACCATTCGCTGTGGGTTGAGCGCAAGGCGCATTTTATGCTTTATATTTTGTATAAGAGTACTTGAAAATATTTTTATGGAGCAGCTTCTGCTCGACACTTTGTTGCCATTTTATGATGCGCCCGCACTTAGCAAGGGCTTTTGGGTGCGACACCTAATCAGAGCGAAGCTTAGATGAGCTACTTAAAACTATAGAGATTATTGTTATAAAATAAGTTGGATAAAATGTCTATCAAAAATAAAACTCGCTTCTGAATCTTAAGTCTTTTAGTAAAATCATCTTTCTTGTTGCATTTAATTATATATTTAAATAGTTAGATTATGATAAATAATATTTAACAAATACGATAGTTTTAAATTATGACTATGCAGCTATTTATATCTTTTATTTTCTATTTAAATAGTATTCATTTTAAGTGTGTCTTTGGCCAAAGTACATTAAAGTGCTGTTTGACGTGCTACAAACAACCATCTCATTTCGTCCCAGATAACGCAACTGGTTCCTGATGAACCGAGAACATCAGGCGTATAGGGTGCACATGGCACATCGCATCAAAGTTTTAACACTCGCCTCGCTCACAGAGTCGTTCGGCACATAAAAAAGTGTTTACATTTCATTCATAAAATATCAATTACGTGCATGTGTGGCAGCTAAGCGACACGCACACTCACAGACACACACACACACTAGCAGAGTACACATACCAACATATGAGTGCGTGGCTTTTGTGAGTCAAATCGATATTACACAAATACGTGAGGACATCAGGGTTCATTGCTTAAGTTTTGCTCGCTGTGACATTTTGGGCCAATATGGCGCGCCACGCACACTGATGGAAATTTAACGAGTTGCACGCCAACAACAACAGGCATAAAACAGCAGGACAGGACCATACAAGAGCAGCACATTATAATCAGCTGTCAGTCCGCAAGCAAATACGACAGCGAAAGCGAGAACATGGCTCTAATGCTCATAAACAACTCGTTGCAAAGTTGACGTGACAGCTTCTCATTCCAAAGGTCGCACACTATAAAATATTCAAGAATTAAAAGATGCTGATTACAATTAAAGAATTTGGATGTGTTCTTTGGCTGTCTGTGAATTATCGCCGTTCTCTGCGATTCTCATGAATTCGTGTGATGACAGCTTTTGATGTAGTTTTGGCTTGACTTCAATATATACTCGTCTTAAATAATTGAACCTTTTTGGTTTGATACCAAAAAGAACAGGTGCCAAAATAAAAGCTGATTATGCACACAAAATTAAATTTGATTGGTGGCCCACTTTTCACTTTCTTGTATCAACTAAAAACGCTCTAAATACGATTTGAAATTGGCTTAAAACTAATTTTGCCAAATGTGCCACGCAATCAATTATTTAGGTCGGCCAAATCTCTCCAGTCCGGCGAGCATAATTAACAAAATTATTATATTTTCAATGTTGGTAGAGGTAGAAATTACTTTAAAATCGTTCCACAGATGCATAAACTAATTTCAGATTTATTTGCCATAAATGCAATTAGTGCATTTTACCGGTTACATTAGCGAAACTTTCATAGAATTGCCGGCCATACGTTTATTAAAGCCCTTTGCATTAGTTAACAAAAATCAGCTGTAATACACAAGTGTTAAGCAAAATGCTAAATGCATTCACTAAAATCCGCTCAAATGTTAACACATGGCCAAATACAGCACGTTTAATTGACTCTAAAGCGGAAATGCCCCCTAAATGGGCTTTACGGCAAAGCACGCTTCAATTTATTAATGTCTGTGCGCTTATGCAAAACTAATTTGCTCTACGCTATTTAAAAATTTGTTAAGTATTCTGTGCCCAGACAAATTTGTTTAATTTTTGGCAACAATGACAACAACAACAACAACAACACAGCTGCCGGCTAAAGTTAGTATTAATGTGGGATTTCCTTTCAAGAAAAGCTTCGCATGCAAACTGCTTATGAATAAAGAAATGTTAAAGCGACGCCACACAGCGTGACACACACACACACACATACTTACCCCTGAGGCTAGGAAATTTTAGCATACATTTTGCATGACGACCCACACATGGACCCGGAGCACAAAAAAGGAGCACCCAAAACTTGTTGGTTGACAGGCAGCCAGCTTAGCCATTTGGCAGCCAATTGTGTGGCCTAAAGGAGGATGCCCCAAGTTGATGTTGTTGTTGCCGTCTTTGTTGTTGTTGCTATTGCTGACACTACGGAAGGAAGAAATTTTCAGCACATCTGAGCAGCAACGCAATCTTTGCCCGAAAGCTCCCTTTTTTTTATGATGCCAATAGTCGAGAAAAAAAGGTCGCTACCTGGTACTCGGTATTGTTGTGCCACTCCTGCCATTGTCTGGCCTTTATGAAATATTTATTATAGTGAGGACATTGCATTGCTTCTTATAGCATTGCTCTCCCAGCGCTTCTACTAAAATGATTAAAATTTATTATGAAAAATGCCTTTTGTAAAAATTTAAATGAAAATGTGCTGTTAATGTTTTACTGTCGATTGTGCGCGGCAAGTTCGTTTTGTTGAACAGGTTATAACATTTAAATCTATTGCAGAATTTTTTTAAATAATTCCAAGCAAAAACTCGTTTTAACTAAAACAATTTTAATTAACTGAAATGCCTCAATATAGTTATAGCTGCTAAATAAGCTTTAAAAATAGATATTCGCACATTTTATATACATATATACAACCGATGTGCATATATAGCAAGTGTTACCGAAGCTTGTAACTGGCTGGCAACGCCAGCTGCAAACGCATGTGCAACTTATTGCACAACAATGATTTACAATGCATTGTTAATGCGTTTTTAATGAGTGCTGCATGTATAAAGAGTAAAAAAAAAACACAAAGAATAAAGTTGCCGCGCCTCAGAAACTTGTCGCCAGAGATTTTTCGGGGCCACATACAACGGCAAAGTTGCAATCCCGATCTTGGCGACGACGTCTTGCCACAAAGCCGCCTTAAGCGCTCCAAACTTTTGCTGCACTCAGTCATTAACATTAAAGACATTCCGTGTCGGCGTTTAGGGTGGCTGCGGCTATGCCCAAAAACTTTCAAAGTGGGAGACGGCACATGTGCAAATGTGCCACACACTCTCGACTGCCTGCACTGCAGGGGCACATAAATAATTGAGTGGCGCCCCAAAGTAGGCAGCAAAGTGCCGGGCTGCAGGTGCTGCTGGCGAATATGAAAAATGGCATGGAATAGATAGGCCAGCTGCTTATGTCAATTCTGTGGCCAGCCCTTAAATGTCTAAGGTGAGAGAACTCTTTCTAACAACTTTATTGTCGAATTTGCAGCCAGAATACACAGAACAATTAAAACACAAGAACAAAATAAACTATATCTAATTTGGCTAGAAATGCTTGGCTTCAGGTATTTTTGCAAAAAAATAGCAACACATTTTTTAGTAATATAAATACCATTGTATAAAAGGAAATTTTACTTAAATTAAATATTTATAAAATAATTAAATGCAGCAATTATTTAGAACAGGTAAATGAAAAATGTCCAAAAATAAAACAACAAAACTTGCCGAGAAAAATGTATAGAAAAATATACACCAATTATTACTTGAATAGTTTTCTACTAATTGCTTGATAAAACTACACAAAATTAATGAATCGAAAAAAAGTATATGCGACCACTTTTTTGCTGCTTATAAGAATGTTATCACAAATTGATCGAAAAAAAGTTCGCAAAACATTTTAACCATCAAAAAAAATTATTTAAAACTCAATAAAAAATGGCGTAGTTTAAATTAAATGCAGCTTGTAGCTTACAATTTAATAAAAACTGTCACATACACAAAAATGACACACCAGTGACCCACAAAGAGGTTACAAAAGCAAGCAGCAGACATTAACAATAACATTTAAGCGATAAAAATAACAAGAGGCGTCAATTTTTAACAAAACGCAGTTAGCGCTTATGTTGAAAGCGAGCAATAGCAAAAATAAATATATATATTGTATACTAAATTTTCGGCAGCGTTTAGATTGGCGCCTATAAAGGGGCTCCTTTATGTTATTTTTGTTTTTATTGATGCCACTCAAAGTTGCCGCCTGGGAAATTTCTTGCGAAACGCCATGTTGAAAAATTGAAGTCTAACGAATTGATCTTGTAATTCTGCGGAAAGCGAATTTGTTTAATTCTGTTTTAATTTAAAATATTTTAGTTTAATCAACTTGCTGTCAATTCAATTTCAGTTGCCATGGAAAGCATTGCCTTAGCAACCACAGAGTTTGTTGACTGAAAGGGAAGGAAATATTTAGCAGAACAGAAGAAGACACAAATATCAAAATGAATATTAGCTCAGCGATTTGGTAAGGCATTGCTATAAATAAAGTATTAACATTAACTAATTGAATTCCTTCACTTAGCTGGAGCAACGCCTACGTAAGCGACAGCATCACAAATGTGGGCCCCGATGTGCTCTGCCTGCGAGAGGGCAACTTGCTCAAGTTTACTCAGGTCTCAACGTTGGCCGTTAGCTACTTTCGGGCCGAAACCGTGGCCACCGGACTACACATTAGCGCTTTTACGGGCCACAATCGCTTTCCGCTGTTTGGCTTTGCCGAAAGCGTTATGCGTCCGAATATATACATTTACAAGTATCCCGAGTTGACCAGATTCTCAACATTGCCACGTAAGTATTAGTGCAGAGATCTATTGAAATGTGTAGTTGACCTTGATGTTTATATTCTTGTATATCATATGAAAAACGTGATTTTGTTCGATATCTCGCGCCATTTCGATAATATTGATTTTATGACTAGGCTCGAAATCTTCATATCAACCCCCATTTCGATAATATCCATAAAATCTAATTTGAGACATAACTAATAATTATAAGAGCTAGATACACCAATCTTGAGGTGTTTAGTATATACAGTTTAAAAATAATTCACTATTCGGACACTTCAGAAAATTAAAAAAAAAATTCATTTAAAAGGTAAAACCTTGCACTTTGGTATTTACACATGGACCTTAACACACGGACTTATGCTTTAAAAGAATACGCTGTGTACTGGGTATCGGCCAGTCTCGACTCTAGAACTCTTACTTTTCACTTCTGACGAATTTCACATATATTTAAATTAAATTGAAAGATTTTTAAATCTTGATTAAAATAACTATGGAAATAGTTTATGTATATGACCTTTATCTATTTCGAAATGTTATCTGTTTGCAGCCTCAGCATTGACTTTTACCATGATTCGATTTTCGGAGCTGGATCTGTTAATTGGAATCGGCGGCTATCCAAGATATGCGATTTGTGTTTTCAATTATCGCACCAGCACAAAGATACTAGAGCAATCAACTTTTATAGTGACACCAGAATTCTCTATTTCACTGAGCAACAGTAACTTGCCCACCATAGTGCAGTATGACAAGAAGGAAATGCGCATACTCTGCTACGAGATGTGCTACATTGAGAAGGATGCGTATTTGCATCAGGTCTCCGAGGTGGAAATGGGCAAACACTATGTCAAATCTCACAGGTACTTCATGTGCTTCGGCGACGACAATGGACTCTATGTGGTCAACGACTATGGCGAATTCTCCCAGATAGATATTGCCTGCTTTGTCATTAAGCAGCGCTGGTCGCCCACCTATATAAGTGACCAGGACGTGGATATGCACACACGGGCGCACGCTCTCCTATCGCACCGAATGGGATTCCTGATCTCAAATAGTTCGATGGCATTCTACATTAAGAAGAAGGCTGGCAACTTCACCGTCGAATGGACCATTGATCAGAGTTTGTCCCACATTAGCCGGTTTGTCAGCAATCAGAATGGTGAACTTTATGCGTCGGGCGAGCTCGGCAGCATTCATCGGGTGGCGGTCGAGGAGAATGAGGGTGTCCTTAAGCAGCTGGTTGTTGGCGGCAAACCGATTCTGGCATTTCGTACGCTGGCCTGCTTCAAGGAGGAGTGTGTCGTGGTGTTATATAATGATGGGATTGCCATGATAGACTTACCAAGCGGCAGAACGCTCTCCGAAGTGCCCATTCTGATGTCCTGCGCCATTTGCTCGCATCGTACCAATCCCTACGTTATCGTAGGAACCATCGATGGTTGCCTGGTGCTCATCCATTTTGACAAGCCATCGCTGCCAAATATAGTCAATGAGCTTCAATGCGAAACGGCAGCCGTATTCGCCATGGACTTTCACGACAACTGTGCCGTATTCCAGGATCAGGCCAAAGGGCTGCACATTGTGAACGTGGAGTACCGTCCACCCAAGATGACACACTACTTTACCATCAACGATGATCTGCTGGTCAAACAGGTTTTTGTCCAGAGCTTTCTGCTGGTCGAAGGACCGCGTCTCTTAGTCATGATATCGCGGGACAAGACCCTAAAGAAGCCCGGCCATGCAGATGAGATGTGGATCTACAATTGGACCAAAGACAGACGCCTGCATAGACGCGAATTGCCATTGCCCAACAGCTATGTGGCATTCTTCGTACAGGCGCCGATGGGTCGTTGGGTACAGATTGAGATTGTGGCTGTGGTCAAGGACAGCAGCATATTCGATCAGTTCATGCTCAACGAGCGCAGTGAGCTCCTGTGGGCCGCATCGATAAGGTCGACTCACTTCGGCCACATCATAGGCATCGGCCAGACAAAGCATCTGCTCACATGGGGCGTTGATGGAATTATGGTCCACTTTCGCCAACACAAACGTGCCAAGAAGGCATTCATGATGTCGCGCTTCATAGCGCTTTTCTTCAGGCCCCACTTTCTGCTGCGTGCCAGAGAGTGCTACAATTCCAAGTAAGTATACAAATAGGGGGTAATCGGATTAAATTGGGCTATAAACCGGTTTCTATTCGAACCGGTTTGAAGCCGAAATTGGAATTTGTTTTTAAATATTTACCTTACAGATACCTTTTGGTACTGAGCGCCAACAATGTGATGTGGGTAAGTCGTCTACCCTCGCTGGCCGACAATGTGCGTGAGAACACCGAATTGGAGGTGCCCGAGAGGTTCATAGTGCAGCAAACGGCGATGGTGTCACGGGTTTTTCTGCCACTTACTGTGAAACTGGAGGTTAAGGAGGAATACGCATATGCGGATCTGTTAAAGCGCGAAAAGCTGTTGCAGATGATCCAAGATTTTTCGGCCAAGGTGACGGCGCTCATTGATTACGACATTTCCGTGACGGGCAAATCGAAGGGAATTTTCAAAAAGTTTTGCTACCATTACAAATGGCTGGACGCCTTGACTGAGGAGGCGCACAAGTTGTGCGAGCTGGAGCGACAATCGTTGATGCGTGCCATTGACGATCAGTCGCGGATACGGGATTGGATTATGCAGCTGGTGACGCGTGACGCTGCCAACATTATTTACAAAGTGCGTTCGATATTCGCAGATGCGAACTTTGAGAGTTTCGCATTGGTACGTAAGAGGAGTGCGACGACATTCGATAAATATCGATTCTACGATCTGGAGGATCACATACGACTCTCTGTGATGTCCATGGAAGAGCTGGAAGATGAGCCGGCGCATCCAGATCGAAATACCGAAGGCGACACTGGCAAGAAGTCCAGTCACGAGATGAAACTCTATGTGGTCGAAGGGCCCAGTATCTATGAGCACATCATGGCACCACAATTTCAATTGCAGAGCAAAAACACCGTCACTTCGAATCAAATATTCAACGATAATTGCAAGTATCGCTTTTATTTGGTGGATCCAATGAAGCAGGAGTTCAACAAGCACTTCCACGAGGCCCAGCAACTGAAAAAGGAGACCATCGATAATGTGCTCAGCACGAATAATGTGCTTCTCAAGATCTATGACAATATGAATTGCATGCTAAGACTCTTGAGCATGGAGGCGTTTAAGCTGCCAGAGCTAACTGTGCCAGAACTAGCCAAGGATGAGGTCATCAAGTGCATTCTGGAGGTCGATGATTCGGAAATTAAGGCAATCAATCGACGCAGACGCAAAACTATCGATACGGGCGGCAAGAGGGGTCGCCTGCTGCTCTGGTCGGTGGAGTTCTGGGCGCGGGCACTGATTGTCATGATGGATGGCGTCATCGAAAAGCTGTGGGAAGAGGAGATCAAAAAGGATATACCGGTGCCTGAGTTTACGCTAAAGAAGCAGCCGCACGAGTACACGCTGGAGGATCAAAAGATTTATCGTGCTTATGAGGATGCCGTGAATCTGCTCCAGGAGGATCGTCGCAAGTATTTGCGCATTTTGAACGAGAACGAAGCCAAAACGCTGCAGCTAAAGACAAAGCAAATCCTCAAGCTAAACCAACGTGTTGCCGAGCTCATGCTACTGAAACTCAAGTACGATTTTGCCCAGAAACAATGCCGCGTCCGTATGCTCAATCTCATGACTATCAATCACTCGCGCGATCAGTTGCGCGAGAAGATCAACCACCACCGGACCGATATTGATAAGCTTAACGAGTACATTAAACGCTACAGCAACCTGCTGGACTTCTGGGAGAGAGCACTGCTGGATGTACGCACGCGTCTCGAGGCCCAGCAGTCGCGAGATCGCGCCTTAGAGCGACAGTTTCGCGGCAACTTCCTAAACTCTGTGCCACATGCAGCCCACGAAATGACCAAGCTATTCAAGAAACGGCCCAAATTGCCCAACAAACTGTTTAGCTCATCGCTAATTTGCGTTGAGGTCGCACAGAGACTCTCCCCCAAGCAAACGAATCGTGTGGGCTTCCCCATGCCCAAGGAGATTGCCGACTTTTTGTCCTATATCGCCGACAATGATGCGCCCAAGTATAGTCCAGCCTCTGTGGATGCCAAGTCCTGGGATATTTTTGTCAAGTTGCGCCGTCAGAAGATCGAAAGCGAGCTGCGCCTTAAGGGCATCAGCCATCAGTTGGTAGACAGCCAAAACTATTTGAACAGCCTGACCAAGGATATAGCCGGTCTAAAGGACACAAAGGCTCAGACCCAAAAGGAAATGGAGGACAGCATACAGCAGTATGTAAGTCGATTAACACAAAAGTCTTTTATAAAATCAGGGCTGCAGCCTTGTTCATTATTTAAAAATTCTGTCAATAATTGGTCTATGCTATTAATGTTTTCAGTTGGAAGCCATGAGAAATATGCCGCTACAGTTGACCTTATCACTGGGTCAGGTGGAGGTTATGGTTATGGGCTCGACCAAGTCGCTATCGAACTGCGTTTTGATGCATGTGGAGGACATCAATGAAGTTAATCGTATGATAAAGGTAAATATTCTAACTATATAAACCATAATTATTAAACAATTGATTGGACTTCAGGATGCTGGCAATAAGAAAATAAAAGCCATGCAGCGCGTTGCCATCTTCAGACGTCAGGTGATCTTTAAGGAATGGGAACACAAACTGTATAAGGCCAATATTGCCTATCTCAAGTATATGCTAGATGCCATCGAGAAGTGTAAGGTGACCATCGAGTTTCTCAACATCTTACGCAACTGGGACAAGGTCAAGACGGAACGTCAAAAATATATGGCAGCCGGTGCTATAGAACGTATTTTAGAGCAAAAAATTGCGGTCTTTAGGAAGCAAATCGAACGCATGTAAGTGCACAGCGTCAGCATATATCATAAATTATCTAAGAATGATTTGCTTTAGCAACATCAAAATCGATATAGTGAAGCAGAAAACTCTGGAAATTAAGCGCCAAAATCATTCGATTGATTCTAAAATCGAACGCCTCAAAGTGGATGTTGCCTTGCACAATTCACTGCGCGATGTTATGATGGAGGAACGACGCGATCGTGAGCAGCGCGAGCGGTAAACTATTTAATTACATAATAATTACATAATATTGATCTACGGTCTGGTTTTTTTCTTACTCTCTTACAGCATGGAACAGATAAAAACGCATCGATCGTTATTGGACAATGTGCGCAAGCACTATGCTCATGTCTTGGAATTGCAAACTATTTTGGAATTATTACGACTGCGCACATACCCTACCTTGGGGCCGCCTTTGCCCCAATGTCATCCGCCCGTACCAGAGCATATACTCCACTCTGTACCTTAGATCGGCATCTTTTAAAAATGGTTGGGTAAGTATATTGAAAGACTACAAATATGCCGAATGATAAGGAGAGGAAGATCAGGTCTTTGGCAAGTGCAAAAAAATACATTTCGTTGTAATGATGCATCGATTATTTGAAATAAACTTGGTTCTTCTTATTGACTAAGTTCAAGCTTGTGAGTTCCTGGCGTCAGACGAGTATGGCTCAATGGACTCGGCTGTTGATGCTGATGGAGAATACATATATAGAGTAGATATTTGTACACTTTACACATTTCCAACGAGCTCAAGCCTTAAATGCTCGAAAAGTATTTGAGCAACCCACGTAAACACTTTTCACTGCCACCTCCACCGAACAAAAGCCAATTGATTTTCAACACCTTCGATTTTAATTAGCCGAGCGACGACCACAGACAGTTTTCGCTTTTACTCCGCACTGAGCGGGAAAAGTTCACGACGCCGGCAAAATGAAAATAATTTATTCGCAGTGCGGCAAGTGTGAAATTTATTAGCGGTTTTTAGTTTTCCAAGGGTGCTAAGCAATGCATATCTACGTATATATATATATATATATATTGTGCATTACATTGACTTGGCATCTGTGTCTATATTTTGGGTTCTTGAACTGACTGCGGTTCTGGCTGTGTCGCCACTTAATTTTATTTGTTTGTGTCTGGGCAAATGACTAGCAAGGCATAAAGTCAACGTCTGTCTGTTAGATTCGCTGTTAATTTCGCTGCTTGTTGCTCTCAAGTGGAAAATAAACTTTCCAAGCCAAATGTTCACAGCTGAACATCAACAGCAACCCAGACACAGCCAGACCCATAGCCAGGGCCAAAGCTAAAGCGAGATGAGGCCAATAAGTGAGCATCCGGATGCCGCCGCTGCCGCCGCGTAATTTCAGGCACGCAATTTTGCATTAAATTGTTTTAATGGATTGCACTTGAAACTAAGCGTCGAAAAACAACAAAAACAGATGCTGTCTGGACACGCTTTTGATGGCTTATGAAGTGCCATTTTCCTATACATGCATTTTCCTATACTTGAATATTTCTGCATATTAATGGCATTCTCTTACCCGTGCCATGTGCTTTAATTTCTCGAATTTGCTAAGCTGAACGGACAAGAAGCTTATTCTATCATAGATTGGCATAAAAAGCCCTCAAAATTCTTCTATATATGTGTATATATTATTCAGACCTATTTAATTATAATTAATTATAATAATAATTATACTATATATATGAATATAAATATATTTTATAATTATTATTTTATTTAATTATAATCAAACAAGTTCTTCTTAATAATTACATATAAATATAACAAATTTTAATAATTAAATTTTATATATATTTATTATTAATGTTGTATATATTAACAATATATATATACTAGATTTAACTGTATATAATATTATTTTTATTCTCATTTACGAGACTCGTAAACACATACCACAAATATTATAACTCGCTTTATAAATCCTATATCCAGATCACCACAATCAATATGAATATGAAAACATAAAACAAATTCTCTTACTTCATATTTAACATGCCAGACACATAAATAACAATATTGTTCGCGCAAATAGCTTAAAAGACCAATATTACAGTAAACAATTATTGTGTTTACTTAATGCAAACAATATGCAGACGGCTGTCGATGTGGCAAAAATGCATTGCATTAAGATCGGGGCATTTGTTTGCAGTCCGCCAACTGAAAATGTCATTTAAATATTTACAAAATGTAAAATACGCGTGCTGTTAAGTGCAGAGTCAGACGGCGATGTCAGCTTTCGTGATGACCATGTCATGTAATCGCCGCTTATCAATATTTATTTATATAAGTATTTGTTTAAATAAAGTAAGTGTAAATGCCAGCTCAAAGTGCCAAACTGTACTTTTTGTGTGTCAATTTGAAATGCTAATCGGGTAAAAGATTAGTTTTAACAACACGCTCAAAGTGTCGAAGACCTAATACCCTGGCGAGCACATCAATCAAATTGATCCCACGTCCGCTATATCGTACAAATTGTTAACCAAATGTTGCGATTTGTAGCTAGTTTCATCAACACGCTTTTTAAATATGTAGTGCCCATTAAGAAGTCAAATAGTCTGTGTCACAAATCCACCAACATCCGCAACTTGTTTGGCGACAAAACCAGACTAGCTTTCGTTAGGGTGTGGCAACCTTGCCCCCGGTAGCTAACCTAAGCGATGATTAGGCAAGAACTAATCTTTTGTATACCCATGGGAATGAATCTTGCTCTTGCTCTACTTGAATGCCCTTTATGGTATCTTATTGAAGGGCGAATCAATTTTTCTTTTAACTAAAATATTAAATCCAAAACCGAAATGATGAATTTAGGGTGTAGGTTATTTTCTCCCACTAAATAAAATTTGTTGCTTTTAATTAATCTCAACATTTAAAAGTGTATTAATAATATACTCTTATGTTATTGAACCCTAATAATAAAATAGCAGGAAGTTCACAAAGTTGCAAAATGTTGTAATTGTTGACGTAGGTGCCTCACGAGTTTAAATAATTAAAATTTCTATGTGAGCACCTAATAAATGCATTATTGCTTTGAGTTTAAAAATATAGAGCACCTTATCAGAATCACAAATAACTCAACTAAGAACTCCTATGCTACACGTGTCGTTCGTTGACGTAGCCTTGTCTCTAAGCAAACCTCATATAGCCGACTGCTTAATACTCTGTTCTCAATGCAAGAACAGCTTAGATCTTTTAGGTCGAGAATTTAAGAATAAATTTTTGCAAAATTTTGGTTTTGGGAATGCGCTCCTGTTGGGCGTGGATAGATATTTACAAAGCTGTCCTTATGTTAAACTTTCTATTAATAATGCATGACCCCTTTAAAATGTTTACAGTCTGATTAAGACTTAACCTTTAGTCCGAAGTATAATTTGAATATACATATGTGCGAGTGTTGAAATTATTAAAAAATAAATAATGCGAACAATTTGCAATTAACAAATATGCAAGCTGAGCTTCAGCTTTCCTGATAATTGCAATCGCCGCTGATCGTTGCACATTTAAAAGCATCGCATCCGCTGCAGCGCACTCAGTTCTAGACAGCCAGTGCATTCGTATAGATCTACTGAGAACATCCTTTTGAAATGGGCAAATTTGTGTTGATTTTCCTGCTGTGCGCATTGGTTGCGGTAAGTTCGTAAACGATGCCCATCAATTGTGAATATATTTTAGATTTTGTAACTTATTGGGTATTGAAACTTATAGCTGTGCATGGCCGAAGAAGTCAAGAAGGAAACGTCTGCACTGGACGACCTGCAGGCCACCATTGAGGCTCGCCTGAAGGAAGCCAGGGAGTACATTGACTCACACGTCGACGAGGGCAAGATTAAGGAGTTCGTCGACAAGTTTGCCGAGAATGGCAAAAAATTCCTGACTGATACGCAAACGGACATTCAGAATTTGAGTGAAAAGAAAGAGTAAATAATGCTCTAAAATAAAATAATTTGCTAAAAAGTATATACACTATATTTTTTGTGGCTCAACTTCGGTACAGTTCAAAATCATAGCTCAAGGTTAGCCTTCAACGAACAAAATAAAATGAAAATAAAATAAACACTGGAAACAAAAAATTGAAACTCAGCATGCAGCTTAAACTGATTATGACTATTTATATACACATTAATGTATTTCGAATTTGAGGGTGAATTAAAAATGTGTATATAGACGGCAAGTATATGGACTGGACATATAAAGTCAGCAGACTTTATTAGGAACAAAGTGTAAATTTGAAGGTAATAATAGAATCTAAGACAGAGCCTGAGTTTAACACAATTTTAATCAAATTTGTCCACACTTTTATGGAAAAACAAGAATAAAACCCGGTTTCCATTCCACTATTTACACATTTAATGCTGTGGCACATGAACATCTTTGACCCTGAGCCTTAAGAGCTGATAAAAGCATGTGCCGCTCGGCGCAAGAAACAAATCTTTGAGCTAGGCATAATTTTGGATTGCTGGACAGCGGTTTAATCAGTACTAAGTTTGGTGTTTAACTGCTTAGAGCTACATTCAGCCTATTAATCAGCAAGAGAAAATAAATAAAATGGCAAAGATCACTTTGTTATTTCTGCTGTTCGCACTATTTGTCGTAAGTTGATAGTAAAAAAGCTTTGTAAGCCAAAAGCTTAAAGATGCATTGTTTGGTATCAATATATAGTTCTGCTGCGCCGAAGAGGTTAAGAAAGAAGACAATCCACTGGAACCCCTAGCAGCCCAGCTTAAGAAAATTATGACTGATGTCAACGCTTTTCTGGAACAACATGTGGATAAAGACAAGTTGAAGGAGTTTGCCGATTCAGCCTTGAAGAATGGCCAACAGTTTGTGGGGGATATCACAGCAGACCTGAAGAAGCCTGTCGAAAAATAGGCATATGTATTGTATGATAAATGAATTGTTTCTTAATGTATATATTTATATTTGGGAAAAACACTTCTTTCCCAAAAAATAAATAAAAAATAAAAAGTAAAACAAAGCTTAGCTCCACTCAATTGATTGATAAGCATATGCACATATGTTTAATACGTTGTAGTACATACGAAATAGGAAGTACTACATACGATCCAGCATACAGTCACGGGCAGTCAAATAGGTACAAAACATAATATATGGCCTTTCTTTCATACTGACAGCATATATATAAAGAGGTACACTATTAAGATCTGCAAAATGGCAGTCAAATATTTAAATACACAATTAAATAATTGGCAAATGCGCTCGAATATCCGCAGAGCAATATTACATGTACTTAATATACAAATTGGCATGGACCGATCGTATCTTCTCGAGTCTCAAATAACGTTTTCATACATAAAATAAGACTTGGTAGTTAGCGAATCAGTTGCTTGAACTCATTTAGAAAGACTTATCTATTAATATTTCTTCAAAATACAAGCTCGAGAAAGTCAGCTGTAGTCCGTTTTGAAAATCGCGCACTGGTTTTTATGTTTAATATGATTCTAAATTTGAAACATTCAGAATGGAAATAGAATCGAATTTTTTTTTTGACTTTATGAAATTTTACCACGTGCCATGAGCTAAAGGTCTGGGTCCGACGAACAGCCTTGGCCAATCAAAGCACAAACTGAGTATCTCTAATTGTGTGAC